CTCCTATAGAACATCGGACAAATGAGATGCGCCCGCCACCGCCGCGCCAGTCGGTCGTCTGGGTTTCGTCAGTCCAGCACCATACTCGTACATGTCGGTGTCTACGACCGCGTTAGGCCGCGACCATAAACAACAGTCAGCAGAGGGGACTATCTGTCAGTGCCAGTGAATACGGCTCCTTCCAGTGGATGGCTCATGGACTTCGGATGTGTAAGCCAGCCAGCCCACGCTATTGACGTTTTTTGAGTAGACAGATCTGTCATACATAATTATTCCCATGCATTATGTCTAATAGGACGTACATATTCGTAAGATCGACAGAGCTGTTTGGTCACGGCTGAACAGGTCCAGCCAGGAGTACCAGACCAGTGGTCACTTATCGGTGACATATGGTCCAATGGCAGCTGTGAGAAAGTGAAATCGACCCCAAACTATGACCGATGAGCTGTGTGGCACGACACGCAGGCAGCCTACGCAGTGCACACCGGTTGGTGTGCGATCAATCAGCGTCACAAAACATCGCGCGACCTCGGCGGTGAGTGCCGTGCGTGGCCGGAGCGCGACACGGTCACGACACGGGAACACGACACGGGCACGTCACGGGTGACACGGGTACGTCAGTCACGACAGACCGACCGCTGCGACATCTGTCGTCCACTGTCAACAACTCTGCACGACTCAGACTCGACAACTCTGCATGCGACTCGCCATGGCCCGACATAGCTGGCTCGCGTGGCTGCACCCGGCGCGACCGGCCAGGTGCACGGACCGGCAGCGATGCAGTATGGCTCCGGCCCCGGAATGTGCCCCTGTCGCTGCAGCCAGCGGCAGACCCAGAGCTCCGGGTTATCGGCCTTACGCCAGGTTCCCACGGCATGGATGCAGCGGTCAAGCTGAGCCGTGAGCCGCGGCGGGAAGTGGGGCCCGAGAGGCGCCGTCTTGGGTTGGCGTAGTGAGTCGTCGTGGTGATTCAACACCGTGATTCGCCGCTAAAAGTTGTCGTCATAAGTCACCAAGCTGCTGATTGTTGTGCCTCCAAAGGTCGAACCATACGGTCCCGGGCCGGAGCAGGGAAGGGCGGTACCCTCATGGCGGCAGTGGGCGGTCGGGAGTCGGGACGCCCGTCACGGCGCGTGGCGCCCGGGCCGGGCGGGGGCGGGGGCGGCCGCCGTTCCCTCCCCTCCCCCAGCACGGCGCCTCCTCACAGCTGAGTGCGGCAGGGGCGGCTCCAGGTACGGTGGTGAGGAGGGCGGCGCTGGCAGCGGCGGGCGGCGGTCCGTGGAGAACAGAGCCGCTCTGGTGCTGTCGGACCGCACAAAAACCGCAGCGCCTCCGCCGCAGGTGCCGCCGCGGGCAGACATAAACGACGACCGGCGAAAGGCAAACGATCCCCGCACGCTGCGAGCGGTTTGAGGCCGGAAATAGCAGTAAATGATGACGTCATTGGTCGTCGAGTGGCGCTAATGCGACCATCCCGTCATCGCACTCGACTTCAGCCAACATCAGCGTCTAGCACAGAGCCACCAATCACGGGATCCCCAGGGCATCTATTTGATGAAGTCACTGTTGAGTGTTGAGTCAGCAGAAAACGGGACTGGTGACTCGAACCGCCGTTCAAATCGGCCGTCTGGCTAAAATGCGCGGCGCAGGAGATAAAACATGCTCCTGTTTTTATGCTTTAGTGGTTGTTGTCATAATGTCATGACAAGATGCAATTGTCACGCATTTGAAGTCTGCACGCAGTAGATGGTACGCAGTACGCACATTCAGAGTCGAAAGTGGTATGAAATGCCCGTCCTGGATGTCTTGAAATGGCATCCCCAGAATTATGGAAAAGCATTCCTCAACTGCCTCAGACCCAACTAAAACAGCATTTTGCTTGCATCAGCAATAGATAAGCAAAGCTGAGCTTGATAAGCTATAGACCGTGATGCATGGTTAGCATATGTGTGTCGTGCCTCACATTTTGACAAGGTGAGCCGCATAAAGCTGACATTACACATCAGATTATTGTCGAGGAATTCATTTATCTCGTGCCGCCAAGATGACGAAATTCAGATTTTTCAAAAATATAAACCATTCATTCCATTGCGAGCATAACATCATATAACATTTCGAAAACACAATTCGATATGCCTTCGCTCCCCTTGGATTGAACATTGAACTAAACAAACGAAATCACACAAAAAACATTGACACTCTTACGCTAGAGCCTGCTGATAAAAACGAGGTAGACCAAAAGAATCTTGGAAAGAATCTTGGACCAAACAACCCGTAAGGCATACGTAAGTACACAGTACCGAAACCATTACGGTGGGACAGAGCCGGCACTGATGCAATGTTATGGTATGGCGTAACTGACGACAGAGCCCGTGTTTACCTGAGATCTCTCAGCACCTGTGCTTCTTCAGCCGCCCCAAGTCTGAGAGAGCGCTGCAGACGGCGAGACAGCCTTCCGGCAGGGCCGGCGGTTAGTGCACAGATGGTCGCCTCATTCAGCTTCAGCCGGGTCTAAGAGGTCGGAAATCGAAAAGGGCGGCAGCCTTTACTTAAAAACAGCTCAGAAATCAGCCTCAAAGAGCTTTCGGTTTGCTACCATCCTGAAGCTAGCTCCATGAATGCCCTCCGTGAGCGTAATAGGCACCCCGGTCGTGACCCCGGGTGGATCCCGCCGGTGCTATTACCTCCGCCATTCAGCGGAAGGTAGCTGGCCGATCCGGCGGTCCCGATCTCTCCCAGGCAGCCGCCGGCGTCTCCCACGCGTGTCATGAGCGCAGCCCGGCCCGGCGTCCGGTGGCGATAATTGTTGCCTCAGCCCGCCCGGACGGATGGTCCACCGCCAGTCGGCAGACGAACTACCGACCAGTGCCTCCGGGGACGGAAACCGGCGCTCGGGCGGCGCGGCAGCGTGGCTTCTGAGGCCCGTCCGGTCGAGCAGAGCGGTCCCCGACTTGGCTGAATCGTCGGCCCGACACGAGGACAGCGCCGGACCGTGGCGACCCCAGTGACAGTCCGACACGCCCGTCACAGCGCAACAGTCAGCAGTCATGTCCGCCGTGAGCAGTCACAGCTGTCGCCAATCGCAGCGAGACTTATAGCTGTCCCAGCGGACACTTCGCACAGACGCCACAGACCGAGACATTTGTCCATTGGATGGTCATTGGCCATAGCGGATGGACACAGTGCTGCCATAGTCATAACTCAACCACAGTCGTGCCAAGAGCCATAACAAACAGCTGAACTCCGCAGCTATCGCCACAGTGTAGCTCAAACAGTCCGGACGTGACCCAAACTACGACTCAGCTCTGCACTGAGTCAATCCCCGACTTCCTGCTACAGCCGGGTTATCGCGGCGTAGACCGGTCTAGCTAGCCGCCACAGCTACAGTTTTGCCGTCCATGGTGTCAGTCACAACTCACAGTGCCCAACATTCATGGTACCGCAAACTATCACAGTTGTTATCCGTCACAGGAAACCCGGCCCGGAGGGGCGTCTTGGTGACGCTCTGTTGAACAGAATCTCCCTGTTTATGAAAAGAAGGAAGGAAACCGACCTTTGTTTTCGCCAAACGTTTACAAACAACAGTGAAAATTACTAGGAGGGCGAGGCTGGGTGAGACGGGAGACTACATTCTAGGTAGCAAGTATGCCTGCTAGATTGTGCGGTCTGTCGTCTCGTACTATTCTAAGAAATCCATTTTCTATAAAATCGGACATCGACGGCTGCGGGCTGATGGATGTGGAATGACTTTTCCAGCGAAAAAGTAAGCTTCATCATGCATATATCCAAACGAGCTCAACAATATTGTCATTCACTGCTCTGAAAATTTGAGCTGCTTTAAAAATAATTAAATATAAATGCCTGTCGTGCATCAGCATGACTGGAACCGGGTACAGGACTCTGACCCTCAGTTTATGTTCACAGGCCTATATGGGCTAGTTTTGTTTGTCGCTGCCGGTCGGTCAGACTGGGTGCGGTCCAGTCGTCTAGATCGAAACATTCACAGAGAGGGCTGCTGACTCATCAGTCAGCCCGTACCCGTGCATTGCTGCAGCTCTGCGCCTCAGTGACGCGCTGGTATAACCGGCGGTACTGTTAGCATCAGGGACCGTGGCGGTGCCGCGGCCTGCACGGGCACCCGAGGTGCAATGACCGCGGGCCCGCCCGGCGGCGGCGGCGGAACGGCGGAACGGAGCGGCGCCGCTGACCCAGATCAGCCGCGGAGCCGGGCGGAAGCGACTGCTGACGTGACACTGATGTGATCCCCGCCGCTGTCCCCGCCCGTCACCCGCCACCCGGTCCGCCGACCGCAGCCGCGGCCGCCGCCGGCCGCGCGGACAAAGAGGCCAACGCGCCGCCGCGTGCCGCCCTCATTGGAGACCCGGGTGACCTTCGTCGCGGGGCTATTGTTTTCGGAGAGACATGAGCGCCCGTTCCGACCGGCCTGACCCGATCGCCGGCCACCCCACGCCGGCCACCCGGTACACGGAACTCCAGTGGCCACCTGCCACGCCCGTGGGCTCGCAGCCCGCCCTACGAGCTAGCCAACTGTTGCCCAACGGCCCTCCGACTCACTCGGGGCCGCAGTGAGTGGAGAGTCGAGAGGCGCGACCCTCGCAGAGCCAGCGGCAAGTCACGCGTCCGCGGAAGCCTTGGCGCCGGCAGTTATTGTAATGAGTGGCCTGACCAAAAACGTCGACTGTGAATACGAATACGGCGCGCGGCTCCAGCGCCGAAAGTGACTGGACCGGTGTCTGGTGAAGGTCGTCCCGGCGCGCTCGGAGGCCGACCGGGCGACTCGGCGCCCTGGCTGTGTCGTACAGCGGAAAACTGGCCGCCCACGGCTGTCGGCCGACCAGACCGGCCAGAGCATGTCGTGACGTCACCCGGGCTGCCAGTCAGCACAAAATCCGTCCCTCAGAGTCGGCTCCCAGCCTCCCACGGCGCCGGCCGACCAAACCCACGGCTCGTGACTGGCACGGCGCTGGGCCCAAACTCACCTGTGGAGCTGCATCCGGTCAAACTCGGCCTCCAGCGTCCGGTCGAACTCTGCCTCCGAGTCAGAGACCAGCTCCGGCGCCGTGACGCTGTCCGAGTCTATATCGCGTGTCGGCAGTGACGGTGGCTGTCGGAGCCGCGACGACGGCCGGTGGGCGTCCTCCACCTCCTCCTCCTCCGTCAGGTCCCGCATCCAGTCCTGCTCCTGCGCCAGGATCTCCTCCACCAGCGCCTGCTCCTCTGGAGGCGGCCGCTCCTGCGCGCGCGCCCCGCCTCCCAGGCCCCGACCGGACCTCAGGGAGGCTGCTTCTGAGACGGAGGAGGCCGCAGAGGCACGCCGGGAGCTGCCGGGCCGCTCAGGACTGCCGGCCGAGCGAGCTGCAGAGCGCACCGATCGCACCGAGCGGGTCGGTGACGGCGTCATCCGCCTGTCGGGGCTCGGCTGGCGGCGCGGCGTCGTGCTTCCGCTCTTGTTGGGGCTACTGGAGCGCTGTGAGCGCGTTGGACTGATGGTGGCCTCTCGGTCGAACAGCCTGCCGGCGGGCCGCGTGCCGCCCGGCCGGCTGCCGCGGCGGGAGAGCGAGTCTGGTGGCATCGAGTCACGTGGGCTGTTGGAGCGTCCACTGCTGAAGCCCGTGTCCTTGCCAGAGTTGTCCGACTCATCACTGTCCCGGCGCGCCTTGTTGAAGATGCCGCGGAAGTGGCGGCTGTAGCCGTCCCCGCGACCAGCTGATTCTGGTGCTCCAAAACCACGTGCTGCTGGTTCGCGACGTTCCTCGCGGAGTTTGGGCACGTGTGGGAAAGATTTGACACGGGACAGGTCGCCGGAGTCCTCGGCGAATACGCTGCGGTAGGGACTCTGTCCGGGCTCAGCAGCCGGTCTGTCGATGCTGAATGACCCCCGCCGAACGGAGGCGGACTCTCCTCCAGTCGACCCGGCTGACGGCCGACGCCTGCGGGAAGCGCGCTCCAGGATCTCATCAAAGTTATCTCGACCGCCCCGAGGCGTACGATCTCGGACAGCTGGGCTCTCATCAAACGTAACATCACGAGTTTTCCGTGAGAAGACACTAGACACGCTGGAGTCAGGCGACTCCTTGGCACGGGTGCGCTCCTTCCTGCCACTCGGGAACTGGGTGTCACGGCTCGCCGTGAAGGACAGGTCAGGAGTGGACGACATAAACGTCTTGTCTCGGCCGCCCAGACCGGCCCGAGCGAACAGAGACGTCATGTTTTCGGTAGACTTTCGGAGACTGGCTGGATCTTCCCGGCCATCATCTGAGTAGACCGACCACCGACTGCTACCGCCGCCGCTGACTCGCTCTGTCTTCTTGCGCCGAGTGAAGGTTCCCACCGCGTGGGCGGGTTTCACGGGCTCCGGGCCGCGGCGCGTGTTCACCTGGAACACGGAGGCATCCTCGTCCTCCGGCTCGACATTGGTCGGCCAGGCGACGGAGGGAGCGTCCGAGCCACGCCCTCCCATCGGCTCATCCACGTCCTTCTCAAACGTGTTTGAGCGCTGGAAGTCGCACGGCGGCGTGGCGAGCTGAGCCCTGCCGCGCGGCGTGGCCGGCTTCTTCTCCCTGCGGCGGACCCGCAGAGTGTCCTCCTCTGGTTCATCGTCGAGATCAAACGTGTTCGAGCGCCGGAACTCAACACCCGGCGGTCTCCGGGCCGGAGAGACACGCTCCGTGCGACCTGAGGCATCCGAACGGCGCCTGTGGCCGGCCTCGGTCGAACCCGAGCGGGGCTCGCGCTTCTGGGGCTTCGACAGCCGGTCCACCAGTCGGTCGATATTGTTCGTCTTGGTGCGCGGTTTCTGCACGCCTGCCTCGTTGATGGAGGTTGAAGAACGTGATGTCGCCAGGCCGTGAGACCTTGCGCGGACCTCACGAACTCCGGCATGCAGGTTGGCCGTGGTGACGGACTTTGCGAGCCGGCCGGCGCGGTGCCGCCCTCCGCCCTCCAGGGAGTCCCGCTCCCAGCCGCCGGAGCTGTCAGAGTCGTCACTCTTGTTGTAAGTATTGAGACGCTGGTAGGCGCGCGGGTACGGGTCCACATCGCCGCCAAACACCTGTTGCACCGACCGTGGCGATGAGAGCGGTTCCGCCGCGCGTGGCCGCTCCTTCACGCGAAACGTGCGCTGCGCCTCGCGCTTGATCGTCACTTTTTGTTGGACAGCGGAGGCGGACTGTCGTGTCTCGACACCTCCCCAGCGTGAGCGGGTCGCCATGTTCTCACACAGAGTCAGCCGCGCGGTGACACCAACACCAAGCTACCCACCGCACCTGACGGAGCCGACTGCCGCCGCCGGCTGTCCACCACTCTCCCCTCGCCGCACACTCGGTCCTCGCGGCCGCACCGAACCGGTTCTCACTGCACTGCTGCTCGACTAGCACGGCGCGTGGCGCGTCCGGGCGGGCGCGCGGTGAGACTGGCGCACCGCGCCGCACCGCGCCGCCGCCGCCGCCGCCGCCGCCGCCGCCGCCGCCGCCCGCCGCCCGCCGCCCCCGGCCGTCACGCCACCGCCAATCGGCGCGCGAGAGTGACGTGACGCGCGACTCGAGCGCAGGGACACGGTCACGACAGAGTGACACGGCGCCGACGTCAGTCCGGCCGGCAATTAGAGGGATTATCTCCGGCCAGCTATGTGGTTTGGTCCCTCTGAGAACAAACAATGCCGGAAGGTGGAACGGCCGAACCCGAGCCGACTGCCTGCTCACCCCATCCCCGCCGCGCACGGGCGGATTCAGGGCACACAAACAAAGGTGCACACGCTCGCACAGAAAAACAGCCAACAAAGAATCGAGCATGCGTTTCGATTACGTTGCAAAAGCAACAATGCTGATTGGTAGCCATGCCTATTGTTCAAGTGGTTGTTCTTTCTCGGTAGAACCTAACCAATGTTTTGTTTTCTGTTCCACAACTACTGTCGCCCCTGCGCCCTTCGACGGCCGTGTGCGCCCACCTGTGCTGGTGTGTGGGTCGCCCGGGCGATATTTATGAGCGCATTGGTCGGTCCTAGTCACTGCTGGTTAGTATGGCATTAGAAATGACGTGTGCGGTGCGCGGGTAGCCGCCGATCCGCAGACGGCCTGCGGTTCCGTTTCGAAATGGCGCTCGGGGGCGGCAGCGGCGGGCGCTGCTCGGACCATATCGAGTGGATCGGACGGGTCCACCGCCCGGCCGGCACCAAATATGGCAGACGGGGTCGGCAGGACTGGTGACGTCACGGTCACGGGACCGCCCTCCGGACGGAGGGGAGGGGTGACGTATAGACGAGACCGTCCGTCTGGTGTCCTTGACCCTGACACAACCCTGACGTGACCCTGGCGCCGCCCCTGGTCACAGCTGCTGTCGGCGGCAAACATGTGGGCTGTCGGACTGTCGTCTGACAGCGGTTGTCCGGCGGGCAGCGGCGGGGCAGCGCTGCCCGGACGCCCCGGACCAACAGTTTAAGCCGAGTTCGATATCAGCTGGCGGACCGACACCCCAAGGTCGCCGTATATCGACACGGGTCGGCCAGCACCAACTGGACCCTGGACCGTGCCGGACAAACATCGATCGGGTGTTTCCGAGTTACCGCGTGCCAGGGCGCGGCGCCACTGCAGGAAAGTCGAACTGCAAACGACCTTATGGTGCAGGGATACGGCTCCGTATGGTGCCGGAGAAAATGGTCTGTCCGGCGGTGATCAGTATTCTTTGCCAGGTGCCTTCAGATGGTATGTCTGTGGTTCAATTAGCGCCCTGTCTGATGTCCAACAGATCCTTGTCAGCCTTGAACCTCAGCTAGATTTGTTTGGTCAAATGGCCCATCGCTTAAAATAAGTGCCCTCAAGTTATGGGCAATCAATCATCTTCACCGGTTTAATGCCCGATGCATTTCGCAATGACAATGTAACTACGACTGTTCAAATAAATCGCATCGCATCAATAACGACTGAGCTGAACAATCTGCATTTTATACCAGTTTTAGATAGATGAAGCAGCCTTGAGCCAATCAAATTCTTCCCTGCGGATACCTATCCAGTTCCAAAGAAAGATTCACTCGATTATCTTTTTATGAGCTTGATACATCAAGTCATCTAAACTAGATGCCGGCAGCGCTCTTGCGTTGCCTTGGGCCAGAATTGGAGGAACGGTGCTGAGGGCACACACCGGGCAAAACCACCGAAACCCAGACTGAGCTTGGACTGAACCTGAAACCAACCGAAACATCCCAAAAATGCTTGAAAGCACGCGAGATTGGTGTGGATATCTACCTACAGTAAGATATGAATTAACTGCACGTGCATAGTTCATGCCCCAGGCACCCCAGTGCAGTCATTTTCATGACATCATGTAGCGTGTGTCTAGTTCTATCAGTGTACCGACTTTTGTGTCGCTAGATCGACGTTTCCCGGGATCAGAGGATCCCTCGTCAAAACCGTTATCCGCCCCCCGCACGCGCAGCTTGCACCCCTCGGATATTATCTCGCCGGAATGTCGTGATCAAATGTATTCTTCTTATGACCTGCAAGTTTTGAACCAGTTAGAGCTGCCGTTTACCCTGCAGGCGTGGCAACGTACGAAGGGGTGCAATCGGCTTGCACGTGCATAGCTCATGCACCACAGAGTTTAGCTCAACCAAATGTGCATTATTTTGGAGGCCTTGCCTGGGACTACCATTGAACCGATTTTGAGGTTGATAGCTTAAAATTTCTTTGAGCCAGAGGACCTCACGTCAAAACGGTTTTCCGACCCCAGCACGTGCAGCCTGCACCCCTCGCAGACGGTGACCCCCCTGGAAACTGGTTCAAGGTGTTACCGATGTGTCCCGCCAGTATGGCTTTGCCCGTGACCTCGGGTTGACCTGTAGCCTTGACAAAAAATTTCGTGTCACCGAAACTTTGAAGTGGAATAGCATGTGCCACGAAGCACCGAGCGAACCGAGGCCAACACCAAAAGTTTACCTCGCCGGAGACGAATCAAACGGTCCCACTTTCGTCCCGATCGGTCCACCCATTTTGACTCCAGGTCCAAAAAAGCTTGGACAAACTCACATACTCACTCACTCACTGACAAACAGGTTCAGCCGAACTTTTTTTCAGCGACCCACCAATGGGAATTTCCGGATGCAAAAGCATGCTATCGCATGCTTTTGATCCTCCAATTCTGGATTAACGTTGAAAACCTGCAGCGCTTCCCGCTGCACAAAACAGAGGACTTGCACTTATCAGTTGTGCACACTGCACAGCACCTGCAACTCTACGGTACTTAACTTACAAAAAACCGGCCAATCCGCTCATCAAAATCCGCTCAACAATCAGATCCGGCACTCCGACAGTCCATTCTGACGTGCGCAGCCCATCTCTGCCTCACCTCTCACAGTCCACACTCCACACCACCGCAGTCGTGCCGTTCACACGGTCGTGGCCCATTGCAGCCGCGTCGTTCACACAGCAGTGCAGCAACTCATGTACGACCGCGCTGTACCGGAAGCCGGTCGGTGACACCACAAACTGTGCGAATCAGGATGTGCCGATACCGGCGGCGCTGACCGCCTGACACCGATGTCCGGCCCGCCAGCGGTGCCGCCGGCGCCGGACCGCATGGCGTCGTCGGTTCTCTCTGACGAAGATTCGACACACGGATCGAGCTGCGGAGACGGACGGGGCCGTGGGTGACGCCGCCAGGTGCCACGCGCCCGCCGCGGCGTCAGCAGGATGACGCGCCGATGACGCACCGCGGAGCTGAGTCAGCACGTCATCGAAACGGGGGCGACGCGGTGACGACGATGGCGTTGACGCGACGCTAGCGGTGACGATGCAGCACGGCCAGGAAATCAAGCAAAGTAGAAATCGGCGATAGAACAAATAGGTCATCATTGGACGGATCTTATCGCCGTTGTGTAGAACTGAACTCGACCGGGATGTTCTCACACAAAAACATTACATTTTGTGAGTCCCTATAACCACTCCGAACCGTTACTGTCAAAATGAGACAGCCGGGCCGGACAGCCGCAGTGTCACCGAGACGTGGGACGCCAGCCAAGGTCGAGCAGCGGTCCGCCCCTGTAGCCGACGCCCTGACCAATCAGTCACGTGTGTTGGGGGCCGCTGCAACAGGAAAAGGCGAGCACATGCACCATGCTGGGCTAACATGGAGAACGGTGAACCTGGGTGGACCAGTGCAACGCGCAAGACCATACCCGCTGACGTGATATGCATAAACAAAGCCAAACGCCTCATAAAACTGCGTTTCAGGATAACATTGTGGTCGTACCGAAGTGATTTCACTCATTTCCTATGCAGTGCCAATGTCGAACATTTGGGCAGCGAAGGCCTTTCGTAGTATGCATACAGATGAGTAGTCTGCAGTCAGAGCGCTGGAAGGCAGCCCCGTACTCGATAAAATGTGCACATCCCGCCGTTACCTTGCTTCCAGGTAAGTACCGGCGCGGCGGCAGGGTCGATGATGAGTCATCAGACAGCTCTCAGAACTGAGATACACGCGGCCACCGTCGGTGCCGTCCAATCGATATGTATGGCACATACGAAAAAGGAAACACTGGGAACCTTCAGCCCTGATGTAGCGCGATGACGCACGCGCATGACGTGTGCTGAGCCAATGCTTGTTTTGGCTCTTACAAGGGGGACACGCCTGACGTCAGGAGCATGCTTCTCGGTGGTTAGCAGCCAGCAGACCAATATTTACCTCCCACGAATGAGGTGTCGAGGGATCGCTGAACATGCAACTGATTAAAAACTACGATGGCGCAATCACGCTGTCAGACTCCATAGGTAGAGATTCGGCGATTGCTTGCCCACTGTCCGGTGTTCGGTGAGGGCTGCTCGAGAAGTCCATAAAAAGGACAGAAAAAGAGACATCCAGAAACAGTGCGACGACCATGGGATTGGGAGCTGACTGATGACTACGCTCTCTGCTGACGAGCTCATGGGACGGAGACAGGTGGCCGGCGCGGGCTATCATTGTTATACACGGAGATTGGAGATAGCACGTGCACATGGGACTGCCCACTGCCCAGCCGTTGTCTGAGGGGCTGGTGACGTGACTCAAGGTCAGCTGAGCCGGCACGGTGACGTCAGAAACTGATGGACACGCCAGGGATTCAGCATCGTGCCGAATAAGTACTCCCCACCTGTGAGTAAGATAGGCCCAGCTTTACCTTCCCGGTGGTCCGACAGCTCTCGAAGACAGAGTGTCAGATTGTAGACCCACTCATATTTCTCATCGAGTTGAAGGCTGATAGACAAAACATTCGTCTGATCCCTATATCAAAGGTGATGACAGGTTAAAGCTCTGAACATATAACTGGGGTAAGCCTTATTCGTTTTATGTTAATAATTGATATCTATATAAATTAAAATCGAAGAAAATTTTGACATATATGATCATCCAAATTTAGACGAAACTCATCCATAAATGCTGTTTTGCCTTTTCAGTGAGCCGTACAGTTTTCACGTCAGCCTGCAGGGAA